CTCAAGCTCAAAGGAGTGTGGTACTTAGCTCTCGGGCCACCAACCGAGCAACGCAATGCACGATGGCCGAGAAGCCAAGTTTGTACAAGTCAATGAATGCACAAATAACACACAAGACTCAAGAGGCCTCCACCCTATCATGCACAATCAAGGGGGACGACGACCAAGAAATGAGACACGTTTCATCACTTTGAGTATGAAACGCCCCTCGTTTCTCGGGTTTGGATTAACGTCCAATCCAAACACATACAATGCAACACAAACATGTTATCTTGGCATGTTTTACTTTGATTCATTTTGTTTACTCATTTTAGATTACCAATTAATCCTTTAATTGATTTGTCCAAAAGTGAGAAGTCCTCTAATTGGAAAGACGGACCAAGCCACAAGCGTCTTGAGCATGAAAGAAGCAGCATGTCATTGGTTAGTAGAAACCCTCAAGAGAAGGTTAATACCATTAGGCATGAACGCCTCAATTTCGTGCTCAAACCAACAAAGGGCTTAAGACCACTTTCAAAAGTGATATAACAATGAAAGATAGAATGCAATGACACATATTCCAGTACTGAAATAGGATGCTAAATGACATCAAAACATGAAAATTATGCATGCAAGACATGCTCGGAGTCGAAAGCATTGAAGCTAGCAAAGAGCATAACACTAAAACCATGCAACACCATGCTCAAGAGACTAATCCAGCCCCAAAAAGACCTCATGCATGCCAAAATAGTGGCTAAAATGGGCTAAAATGATAGCATGAAAAACAAGAAAACGCATGCTCAAATGATGGCTCGCAAGCGAGGCGCAAAGCTTAACTCTCAAGAGCACTTAAAGAGTGATTCGAGTGGAAGCATGGCAAAGATATAAGCTCTGAAATTACATACCAAATGATGCCATATCACACAAACATCACAAATAAGGCATTCTAGGGGTCTCAAAACACAAGTCTAGCAAAGCCAATTACACTATAGCCCTACAAGGCAAGCCATACAGGACCAAGGCCACTTGAAACAGTCCTAAGCATGTCAAAACAATGCCAAAAACATATTGAAGTGTAGCCAAAATAAGCCAGAATGGGAAGCCAAATCACCATGTACACTAGGTTAATGAGCATGATTGCACTACAAGTGCAAGAACCAAACAAAAGGTGACCCAACCAACCAAAATTAGAGTTAAAGCATGTTAAATAATGGCCAAAAACATGCTGGAGTAGAGCCAATACATGCTAAAATTATAGGCTAAGACATGAAGCATGTTAGGCTAGCAAGTAGGATTACACTACAAGTGTATGAAGCATGCAAGAGGTGACCAAACTAGCCAAAAACATAGTTATAGTAGGTCCAAAAAGTCACAAAAACATGCTCAAACTACGCCTCAAGAAGGAAGAAACACATGCTCATTTGGTAGGCCAACAACACATGCTAACAAGACAAGAGGCCCCCTCCTATTTGAGATCTCAAAACAAGTTTTCTACCACTGAAATTCCTCTGGAATTTAGTGGTTTTAAGGCCAAAAGGAAGTTGTTTAAAAAGCTTGAAAGATAGCTCAAAAGGCCTTACAAGCTAAGGAGCAAAAAGGAGAAAACACTCCCTAGCCAAACAAGGATTAAACCACCATTTTAGAACCTCAAAATCAGAATTTTTTATGGTTCAAAACCAGCCAAAAAATAGTACAAAACAATGGAAAAATGGGATAAAGCAAGTGTACAAAAACAAGCTTGAAAGGGAGAAGTGCTTACCCTTGAAGCACAGCAGCAAAACCAGCCAAAATCTGAGCCAAAACCACCTTTTAGAGCTCAAACAAAGTCCCAAGGAATCTCAGCCCAATGGTGGTCAAGTTTGATCAAGGATGTATATGGAAAAGTATGGTGTATCTAAGATTTCATGCACAAAAAGGCAAAAGAGAGTGAACTCTAAAGAGAGAGAGGCAGAGATTTAGCTCTGAAAATTTTGTAGAGAAAGGGATTTTAGTGTGAGAAGCTCCCAAATTTGCTATAATGTTCTTCTTTTTTCCAAAATGAGTGATATGGTTCCATATATAGCAAAATGGAGCCTTGGTCGAAATATCTGAGTTTGGAAATATCTGGAGCAGTGTATAACAACTAGAGAAGAAATATCTGCAAAAAAAATGAGTTTTGGACAAAAGTGGCCGGCTGGTTACTTTTCTGGCCGATAGCAAAAATCTACTCTGCAGGTCAAATTTCAAATGCGCATATCTACTTCATCTGGACTTCTTGTCACGTCATTCTTGTGTCCAAATTGAAGCCCAGGAAGTAAGCTTTCCAATGGTGGCAGCCTTGCATCAAAATTCCAACTGTGAAAAAAGTTATACTTGTTTTGGTGAAGCCGCTCAACTTCGATCCTACCCGGATTTATGCCGAACTTCTCCTCAACTAGTTTTCTTCTCTCCTCTCTCATTTTCTTCAACTCCAAACCTCTAAACAAGGTGTTTTGAAATACTTTTCAAAGATTTCGGGGGTGTTTGATTTGTGTTTGTAGAGTAATTTTTTAGATAAAAAGTACAAAAACTTGTTTGGTTTAACTTTTTTCAAAAATGGTTTTGGAAAATTATTTTGGGAGAGAGAGTTTTAAAAAAAGTGATTGATTTGATGTGTATGAAAGAGAGAGTGATTTTGGAAAATAGGTAACCAAACAAAATTTTGAGATTTTTTTTAGAAAAATTTGTTTGGTTTGATTACTTTTGAAAATTTATTTGTAGATAATTTTTCCCAAAAAAATTTCTGAAAAAACAAACCAAACAAGGCTTTCATCTCTCTTTCATTCATTTCCACTTTGTCCTTACTCGGTTTATCGAAAAGCGCAATATTTAACAAAATACGAGCGTCGAAATATCGTAGGAACCTATTTTCAAAAATATTTTGAAAGAGAGGGTTTTAAGGTCTAAAACCATTCAAAATAGTTATGATCCAAAAAAAGGTGTGAGGTTGGGATTTGATTCTCCTCTTGCCGAAGAAACCGAACATTTGTACTGCACAACTTTCATCACCCAAGTAAGCAATTAGTGACGCCCAAGTCTTGAGGGCGGTCAAAAATGGAGTGTCTACAATAAGGAGGAGGCTAGGGTTTTAAGAAGCCTTAATCTTCCTCTAGAGAAGAGAAGGAAGGTGTAGGGGAGGCCTTTTACTAGTTGGATGCTTGTGAGGAGGATATGTCCTGCCATTTTATTGGCAATTTTGTTGATTTGGATGTTGCCGCCATTTCGGAGGCTGGGCTGGATCCTTGTTTCTTCGGAGGAATCGATCAGATTCTTGACAGCATCAAGAATGGTGACGGTCAACCTGTTGGATCGGCCGAGATAGAACAAGTCCTTCAAAGGTGTGTACAGAGAATTTTTCTATATAATATTATAGGTATTGTTGGATGTTTATTATGGTAATTTTTATTTAGTATATAATTGTCATTAAATTAATATTTAATTAAGTGTATACTCTGAGCTAATTAGGTGTATGGAAATAAAATTTCTCGAAAGAATCACGATTGGTTTAAGATCACTTATATTCCATTTCTATGTTTCATTTTTTGTCCATTATTAAGGCCAAGTTTGGCATGAAGCGAAAAAGTCAAAAAGTCAAAAAGTTACTCAAAAAGTTAAAAAGTTATCACTATTCACTAAAAGTCAAAAAGTACGGTTGCACAACTCCCAATTCTAATTTTCCCCTACATACTAATTTATATAATTTTTTAATACACATTTTTTTTTATAAAAAGTCAAAAAGTTAACCCAAACAACCATATTTATTTCCTCAACTTTTTAGTTCAAAAAATCAAAAAGTGCACATATTTAAGACATCCTAAACAATCCCTAAATGAGATAAGTGATATGATTCCAACAATTGATTTTAATTACATCCTTTTGGTTTATCTTCTTTGGGCATGCATGAATATTGAATGAACAAAAATGAAAGTAATAAATAGAAGTGATTTTTTCTCTTTAGTTAGTTGGGTTGGGAAAATTAATGGGGAAAAAAAAATTAGCAACATATAAAATATAAAATTATCATTATATAATTCTTTCATTTTCCTTGACAACTCAAGGTGCAAGTGAAAAGTGCATGCTAAAATATAATCTCAACATTTTGAGCTCTCTAGCTTGATGCTTCCTTCTCGATTACAGTATAAAACACCATACACAGCTTAATACTTCCTTCTCAATTACAATATAAAACACCAGACAATTTCGAAACTAGCAAAGACACTACTATTAAAATCTTATCGGTATCAACAATCCAAGAAAGAATAAAAAAATAAATAAATAAAATAACTTAATTTTAAAATATTATACATTTTTTATTTTGTACATTTTCATTTAAATTGCATAACTTTTTTAAACTATGTTTGACAACATCTAAAAAGGCCATATTAAAATAAAAATAAATAAAAAAACTAAAATAATATACATTTTTAAAAATGTTTACAAAAAATATTTTAAAATATGAGTTAGTTTTTTAACTATTTTAACATTAAACTCAAAAGTCTAGTTTAAAATAAACTTTTTAACTTTTTTAAAATATCTTATTAACTTTTAAGCTTATTTTGTCTTTTTGTGATTAAAATAGTCAAAAAAGACTTATGCCAAACATAACCTCAGTCTAATTTAGAAAGACCTAAACAATAAAATAATTAAAACAAATACTAGCAAAATCAACTAAAAAATATATATATATCTATCTATATATATATATAAATTTGGAAGATTATTTTTAAAACACAATTTAATGTTGATTTGTCTCCAAAATTAAGGGGGAAAAGCACTTCAAACTAATTTCCAGCAAATCGGATGCACCACAGCAATCCCCACATCAGCCATAAACTTAGAAAATACTTTTGGGGTATGCCATTCAGGCATTTTGGGGTATTTGAACTCCTATCAGAATATATTGCCTCTCCATGGGTATGGCTTCCAATTTGAAAGCTGATAATCAGAAAACAAAAGTTAAAAGAAAAACTGATAATCAAAACCATGCACATTTCACTTGAACATAAAATCAAAACCATACGCAGACAATATTTACCAAGAAAATTGAATTTTCTCAGTTCATATTGTAAATTAACTTAGGGTGCACAGAAAATGTAATCCATCCAGCTACACTTTTGTCTCAAGGAAGCACACAAAACCAAATCGAAACCAGTCACTTACAACCCCAAAAATCAAAAAAATATTTCATGACACTATAATATGGTTACTGTCTTAACCGAAACAAGCCTTCAGAAACATAAAAAGATCATGGAGGTTCATACCCAGAACTTTCAACTATGCAACTTCTGGCACCATGGAACTTGTTTGAGATGAGCTCTCCCATGCATGTTGTGCGCAGACATTATACAAGAGACCCCAAGAATTTTAGTTCTTTGGGCCAATGTCCTTGAGGGCATTGATCTGTTCTTCCCCCATAGCACACATAACCGACACAACAAGGTCTTTCCCTTCAGCAAACCCATCTTTAATCTGAACACACAAAGCACAGACAAATAAATATAAAGTAAAGGACATAATATTAATTGTGGACTATTGAAGGGCAGCATTAAATTTTCAATGCACACAGACAAAAACGAATGACACAATACGTACATGACACAAACATACCGACTCAGGGATTTTTAAAAAATACAGGACACAATATGCCTGTGACACATATTTTATTTTTATTTTTTTTAATCTTGTTGTGTGCCAAATATAAAAATAGTTTATTCAAAGATAATGAACAAAAAATGAGATAACACTGGAGTAATTAAAATTAAAGTCATTTATTCAATAACTTAAAAATCAAGATATCATTGACGTAACAATGCTTCTAAATTATGCAAAACAATATTGAAATACAGTGTATTCATCTTACTAATATTTCAAAATATATTTAGAGTGCACAGGTTGCATTTTGAATAATGCAGAACATTTGTGTACCTGGCTGAGCAGACTTTCATCGGTGGGAAGCTTCAAGTCATCCTTGGTGTTACCATTCTCAGTCAAAAGACTCACCTGCAGATCAAAGTTTATTTGGTTTACAATTCAAAAATTGTGGCAACCCCTAACAGGCAAAGCCTAAAGCTGGATCTGAAAATGAAGTTACTGCATCCAAACTTATGAAGTTCTGAATAATAACATAAAATCTTACACATTTCTAACAAAGAGACATGGATAGTTCTTGGCTGGACACAAAGCACTAATAAAACAGCGGAAATTACCCATGGCCAAAATTACAAACACAAAATATTGCTGTCAACATCATCTCTTGTCAATAGAATAATAACAAGTCTAAATTTCCAAATGTCTATAGCAACCCAATTAAATTACATGGCATTTTTATCTACCAATAATTAATCCAGTGAGATCCATTGGATACAGAAATATTCAAGATGTTCACACGAAATTACTTACAAAACCATCTTCAGAAATATCAATCAGTTGATAATCAGTACGAGTAACATGAGGAACCTGCAAAGAAGAGAAGTGACTTAGAAGCTATGAGTATACATGTACTGTGTTCCAAAGAATTAGCAGAAATCCGAAAGGAAAATAAAAGAATCTAAACTAAAAGACCCCTCACATCGCAGTTATGGGATGATGGGACAATATCTTCAAGCTTCTTGCCATTGAATATATCAATGCCCACAAAGTGACACTTGGCATGCCCATGCTTGCCAGTTTTAGAGGTAGAAACCTCAACAACCTGTTTAGCAATCCACCAGGAGAGAATAAATTATAAGTAACTTTTCATCATCAACAATCAATATATGCACGTAAAATTAAAAGGAATGCAGTATGAATAGTGTAATATCTGAATGATGATACTGAGTGTTCATCAAAAGTTTATCTACTTGAAGGCTACAGGCAAGATTTTCTCAAACCAATTTGTAATAATTAAAACTAAATTACAATTATGTGAGAATCAGGCAAACTTCATTTTCTTATCTAATGCTGTCTATGGCCTCGTTTGGGAAGTGGCTATTTTAGTTGGCTATTTTAGTTTTTGACTATTTTAGTAGGCTAAAATTTTTGTGTTTGGGAAGATGATTGGATTTTTTTGTGGTTGGATGTGATGTTTGTGAGAGGAAAAGTGAAATGATTATGGGTTTGATGTGATATTTTGTCTTATTAGCTATTTTAGCCTATTTTGTCTTTTTGTGATTTTTAGCCTAAACTAGGCTATTTTTTTTTCTTCCCAAACACCCCCTATAATTCTCAAAGCTTTTCTGAGGCTGTATTCACTTACACATTCCATTTAGATGTTGAAGATGGTTATACAGCCATAGACATACATTTCCTGCATTTATTTATGAATTTACAATTGTTTGCTGTAAATGACACCCACATCAACTAAAAATGCCAGATCTAAATTTCTCAATATATTACATAAAACCTTCTTTCATGATTTAAAAGAAATCAAAACGCTGAAATATAATTAAAGCACCAATCTGTTGCAAGGCTAAAGGCAAGATTTTCTCAAACCAATTTGAAATAATTAAAACTAAATTACAATTATGTGAGAATCAAGCAAACTTCATTTTCTTGTCTAATGCTGTCTATAATTCTCAGAGCTTTTCTGAGGCTGTATTCACTTACATATTCCATTTAGAAGTTGAAGATGGTTATACAGCCATAGTCAAACATTTCCTGCATTTATTTATGAATTTACAATTGTTTGCTGTAAATAACACCCACATCAACTAAAAACGCCAGATCTAAATTTCTCAATCAAATTCTCTAGATTTAGTTACAAATTTTATATATTACATAAAACCTTCTATCATGATTTAAAAGAAATCAAAACACTGAAATATAATTAAAGCACCAATCTGTTGCAACAAACACAAACACACACGCACACACAAAAAAAAAGAGATGACTACTGCATTTTGATGGTTTTGGACAAATCCAAAGTCTCCAGCAATAAGTTATCGCTGAGCTTAACTTCACTTTGGATCCTAAATTACCTCTTGACACACTAAAAATAATCGATTAAGACGAATCCTTAATATACCAGTCAAATTGGTACAGGCTAAAAGAAAGCAGTTGAAGACTGACTTTGCCATTCAAAATTCCTCCTTTTGGAACAATTTACCATTTATTTTAGATTTGCAAGTAAAATAGAACAAGACTTCATCATTGCTTTTCATGGTAACCAAACAAGGAACAATCCATTGCATTTTCTTTTCCTTTTCCTTTTCCTCCACCAAATCCTTAAACCAAAGATATAAAAGAGGATTAGAAAAATCAAACCCACCTAAATATCACAACAAGACCTATTAACATTTAATGAATCAAATATATGATGAAACCAACACAAACAGCAAAACCCAAGCTCAAAATTTGACAAAAATTAACCCACCAACCATTTTAACATTCATGTATAAAAATCTAGGTAAAAAAAAAAAAAAACTCTAGCAACGTTTTAATAATTAAATGAATTGAAATCCGATACACATAACACACATAAACACGCGATCTGCACGGGAAATACAACAAATTACAGCATAAGACCAAAATAATCCAATCCAATCCAAATCTAAACACAAAAACAGTTATAAAGAATGATCTAATCGATAAAGAGGTTATACCTTGCAAGGACGGTTTTTGATGACGATGTAACCGTTCTTGCGGATGGTACCGGCTTGTTGGGGATAGGTTTTGGAGGCTCCAGCATCGGCCTTGGACTCGAAGTGATGCTCTTCGTCCGACATGGTTTTCGACTTTCTAGGGTTTCCGCTCTTTCTCTCTCTAGAAATTTACAGAAAGCTCTCACAGCAGCCGCAGCCAAAGGACGCAAGAGAGAGGGAGGAAGGAGAGCGGTGCCGCGAGAAGACAACGAAGCTTTTATATTACAACCCCTGCAGTCGTCTCTCCACTGACTAGGGTTTCCAATCCAAAGTGTGATGCAGTGTGTGTGTGCAATAGTTAACTCTGGTTGCTATAGACCTGATCTTGGCCGTTGGTTCTTGGTTCATCTTTTTTGACGGCTGAGATCTCTTCTTTTCTAAATATAGTATTAGTGGGTTGACGATAAAAATCTGGCATGCGTGTGTTTTCAGGTTGTCTCGGAACTTACGTATTGTTTGGGAATAGATTTTTTTAGTAATTTTTTGATTTTTTAGTTAAAATATGATGTAAAAAAATTAGTATATTTGAAATGATTTTTTAACTTTTTACAAAAAATATCTATAAAAAGTAGAGAAAAAAAAGAAATTTTAATTTTTTAATATATGTTATTAACTTTTTAATTATTTTAATAATTTTTTAACTAAAAAAATTACTTGTCAAACGAGATCTTAGTTAAAAAATAATTTTTTGATTTTATTTGACTTTTTTTAAAAATAATGCATAAAAAAAATAATATGATAAAAAAATATTAAAAATTAAAAAATTATTTTTAACCATCTATCCAAAGAGACTTACGTGCGCGTATCTTTCACCCAAAATAATAAATAATTAATTTCAATTTGCACTTTTTTTTCAAATAATAATACTAAAATATATTCAATTCTTTTGATAATAATTTATTATTATCATCTTGGGTGTTATAGTCATCACCCAAAATAAACTTATTCGATATAATTTATTATAAATTAATAATTAATAATTAATAATTAGTAGTTTAATCTTAAGTTAGCCTGTCTTATGAGATGTACCAAACAATCCCATAGCCTATGCAACTCCTGCGGTGTAAATTTTTAAATGACTTTGGGAGCAATGTTTTGTAGGTATTAGTTCATTATGTTTTAAATAGTTTTTGTTATGTTTTTATAATTGGTAATCTTATTGGATAAAATTTTTATTTAGTTGTATTTTTACTCGCTCTATTGTATTCATAAGTTATAAACTTAAATAAGATAGTAACTTTTTGACTTTTTATCTTTTTTCAATCATGCCAAACTTGGCCTTACTTAAGTTAGCCTGTCTTATGAGATGTACCAAACAATCCCATAACCTATGCAACTCCTGCGGTGTAAATTTTTAAATGACATTGGGAGCAATGTTTTGTAGGTATTAGTTCATTATGTTTTAAATAGTTTTTGTTATGTTTTTATAATTGGTAATCTTATTTGACAAAATTTTTATTTAGTTGTATTTTTACTCGCTCTATTGTATTCATAAGTTATAAGAGTTTAGATACGAATTCAACTCGAATTGTGTTTGAGTATACGAATTTGTATTGACATTTCGTATCTTGTTTTAAGCATTTTTTGTTTGCTATTTCACTGACTAAGGGGGTAGCACCCATGTCGGGTCTGTGGCAGCTCCTAGGTAGGGTCAAGGGGCAGCACTACTGAAGCCAATAAAGAAGTCAAAGTTGGTTAACCACTCTAGTGGTCTTTCGTGTGTTTGAGTGGTGAAGTGGTTCATCCAGTATCTTTGCTTGCATTCTAAACTTTTTGGAAGCATATTTTGCAACTCGAGCAGTTGGCCTATATGTGAATACCACCTTTAGTCACACCACTCTAGCGGTAAAGTGAGTGCTCAAATGGCCTTCACGGCTCTATTTAATATAAAGTGTATTGTTTGTTATTTTTATGATTCAACTCGTCCAGATTCTTAGAGAGGAAGTTAAAATAAAGTGTTTTATATTAGAGGATGTTTATATATGAGTTTCCTTGATGTATAGAAGGTGATCAATTGATCAATGAACTACACATTGCCTAAAATCAATGGGTTATTTTTATTATTTTATTCAAAAAAAAAAAGAGGTATTCATCGGTGGATTTTGGAGAACTTAGGCCTGAAGTTGTGGTGGATTATGGAGTAGCTCATCGTCGTGATTCAACATCAGTGTTGTGGATTCAATGTTGTGTATGAGCACATAAATAATCTTCTTGTATAATCCTATTGATCAAGTGCTTTGCCACCTAAAAACACAAACGTAAGCTAACCGATGGGTGTGTGCCGGAAACCTCTCCGATGCCTAAGTTAGCCAATAGACAATAGACACAAAAGCTCTGTGTATTCCAAAGTAAGAATTGTGATACCTGTACATAGGTCTGTCATGAGCTTTTTATAGATTTCACCTGACACAATCTTAGTAGGACTCCAACCCTCATTAGCAGAGTCCGGCTAGAAATCACACTCTCAAGGATAATGCTTATCCTGATTACACCCTAGTCACTACTAACCAAGTGGAATGATTGCAACTCTTGCATCGGCTGTTTCCAAACTCAATCGAGGTTACACAGCTCGGTGTTGCTTTAGGCAACACTATCATAACCCTAACTGTGAGATGACGCCCTGGAGAGCTATCCTTAGCTCAGTCCTTCTTCCACTGATACCTCAGTCCAGGATAGCCAGGTCAAGCCACTGGTAGCCCACCTCTGGCTGGCCTGATGCTTAGATGATCTAGGACCGTGCTACATAAACAATTACTTCGGTCCGTAGTTCGGCCCAATGTCTAAAACGAATGGTCTTAGTTTGGTAAAAACTATTCACATAAATTACCCTCTCAATTGCCCCTTAATTCCATCTGCAAAGCATGAATGGGATTATTGACTTCCAACCGAGCTACCCAAGTCCAACCGTGCTGAAATAACGATTTCAACCGAGCTAAAACTTGTTCGAATTCTTGAAATTGCGCCGATAACAGCCTATCGTCCTATAGTCTGACATCACGTCCTTACTGGGACACGTGGCATGTGTCAATTGCCCCTTCGTACTATGCCAGCCATTTTACACTGCCCAAAAATTCAAAAAGTAGCGCCTTTCTACCTTAATTATACAAGACTCATAATCCTTCGAATAGTTACCTCCACTATTCATCTTCTCTCTGGAAAAAACCTCTCACACTTTTTAGCTCCAAATCCTTACCCTCTTCAGTCAAGTCTTTTAATCCCAGCATCTAGATCACCTATTTTGCTCGTCTCAATTGCAAGGGCTCGTCCTAACGATTGGATTCTGATTTCACACCCTAAATCAATAAGTTCCTCGTGCCATTTTCTTTTTTTTACAAACATACTTCTATGTGTTTACTTTTTAAAGAATATCAACTGAACACCAGCTATGCATGTTTACACATACTAAAGACTAAACAAACATCAAGAACCTTGAAACTCCATGTGCAAACTTGGAAAACATATTAATTGGGACTAAAACCAGTCTAGAACAGTGTTTTTGATCCAAAATGATACTGTAACCGGAATAAAAACCTGTTCATGACTTTAGGCTCGGTTCCGACCGGACTAAAGATCCCTTGCTGAACAAACCGAGTTACGATGCTGCCCATACTTCTTAACCGAACTAAATATACCCTGGTTTTGAAAACACGCTTTTGGAACTGAACCGTGTCTAATTCCAACTGTAATGCCCTCAAAATAAATCCATATAACTCAATCATCTATGATATCCATAGACATAGGAAAATAAAATATATTCATCCATCAGAGTATTCTTTACAAAAAAGTATTACATGTTGACAACAAAAGTAAATGCTCTACGGGCTTACAAACTTTCCAAGTCAACACTTGGTTTCAACAAAAGAGAGTTCTAACTCTTAACAGATTAAGCCCTTGGCTTGAATTACATGTAATACAAAAGATAACTACAAAAATAAGCCTTCAGCTTCTAAACCTCCCAAGCTACATCCTTGGAGGCGACATATCACCTGTACCTGAAAAATGATGTCCCATATAAGGTGAGCCAAAGCTCAGTAGAGATACGCTAAACATAATATGAGAATTAACTAAAACATTAACATTTAATAAATGTTTAACTCATATAAATCAACGTACATCTCTTCCATAACCAATCCATAGTCACAACCATGTTTCAATCCCTTTTTGTTTCATTATCTAATCCAATTCATAAATATGGTTCATTGTTTATCCGAACAATTCAAAATGAGATTACAACTCATACTATCAACACTTCAATCATAATCAATTTATAATGAGACTACAACTCATACTATCAACACTTCAATACTTCAATTCATCTACGTTATGCAAATGTAATTAAGATTTCGGGACTTTCACCCTAGACACTCCGACCAACTTAGTTATCAATGGAGTCCATCCCCTATCTCCTCCCAAACCATGGAATACATCCCCTATTTCCTTCAAAACAAAATACATATGCAATGTATTTAAACGCTTTATCATATACAATGATCAATCCAAGCACATATTCAATGTGTTAATTCAACCGTCATATTCAATGACATAACCCAATTGATTAGTTCCAGTTTTCCTTAATCAACATACAATGTCTACAACAATCAAGACTATCCTCCATCGATAGCCCAAAACAATTATTTCTAAACAGATAATAAATTTATCAAACAGATAAATTATCAACAATTTCATAGGTAAGTAATTAATCAATCCAGCTGCACCATTCAATCTCATAATTTTCCAATTTCATGATTTTCAACTTAATTTCATATTTCCATATTTCCCCAAATTAATTATACAAATTAATTATTTAAACATTATTAGGGCATTTTCCCCATCTTCTCAAACATCAACCCTAAGATTCAATTTCATTAATCCTACAACAATAATTCCATTTTCCAAGGTCTCACACATACATGTGACTCAACAATTGAAAACCCCTCTTTATATATTTCAAATCAAACCCTAACTTTTCAAGATTTCCATAACTTCACCAGTTATACAAAATGACTAAAATTTATGTTAAAACTCATAACAAGGAGTAGTTTATCTCTACCTCAAATGAAGAGACCCAAAGGAGATGAAGAGAAAAACCCAAGATGCTCCAAAGTCCAACTTTTTTCGGATCAAAGTGTAACCCAAGCAAAGCTCTACTCTTTTTACAAAGGGATTAAGGTAAAGACACTATAAATCAAGAGTATTTGTAAAGAAAACTAGTGTGTAGAAAGAGAAATAGTCGGATCTAGGGTTTGGGGTGAAAAAGGTAATGAAAAAGTAATGTA